AGTATGTTACTAAATAAATATTAGTTGAACAAATGAGTGAATGAATAGTCACAAACATATTTTTGTAGTATATGACATAGTTTTATGCTTGTTTCCCTATTGCTATTTCTTTATATTTATTAACGTTTCCAGCTGTTCCTTGCCATTTAGGTTACCTTTATTTTTCAATGAACACCTTTATTTGTCTGGTTTATTTCTTCCCTGTTGCTTGGTTTAGCATAAATTTTCAGAAAACAGATCAATCAGGTCAATGGAATATGCATTATGACTCTATCCCATAGCTAAATTGATTTCCCCAATAATTTTATTAATCTATAATGATACCAATGGAGTCGTGGTGGAACAGTTTGATCACAACCGAAATTAGAATTAGCGAGAATCATAAAAAATGAAAACCAAATAGAAAACTAATTGAAAATTGCTTGTTCTTTTCATTTGCTTTATTGCATTGTGTATTTATATATATATATATATATATATGTAACTGCTCAATAGATGGTATCAAGTGAATTTTTTAAAATCTTGAAATTTTGCACATCTCTAGAGGCTCTACACATTCCAAATACATATAATTAAGACATACTATATGAAGTGACATTCACCATTCTACACTGAAATAACATATACAACTTGTTTAAAATTAAAGTATTTTGTACAAGATCTAGATTAGGACAAGCATCCTAAAACAAGATCAGATACAACCTAAAGTCAACAAATTATTATTTGTTGTTACTGAAATTACAAAAGTATCATAGTTTTTCTTCATCTATCAGAGAAAAAAATAATAAGCCAAAACCTTCTTACCCTGGAGGCATCTGACAAGAACAGCACATGTAAAAAGCTTGAATGACAGCACTTAGTCGGTTAGCTGTCACAGAAATAACATCCTGACAATCTGCACTGGCTTCCTGTTTCCTTCCAAGAGCATCTGGTTTAGATTCCCCTGTGCCAGTGGACAGATTTTCACAGCTCCCAGGTCCTGGAGGTTCAAATGGAGGAATGGATGTTGCATCTTGATCTTGGCCTTTTTGTTTCAGTAAAATAGAAGTGATATCCGTTGAGTCCTTTTTGTTTTTCATCAGTTCTGTAGCTATTAAAACTAGCCATTCATCTAATGAGTGCCAAAGCAATTCCAGAGGCTAAAAGAAAAAGAGTTTTCCAGACATCATTCTTAAACTGTACAGGATTTTAAAAACCCACACAGCCAGACAAATATTATAAAAAAGAAAATTTACTCTAGATACTTTTATCTTCCCAAGTTAATGTGACAATAATGTCTAAAGGTAGAAATGAGGGAAAAGTAGTGTATTTTCCAGACAAACAAAAACTGCAGGAGTTCACAACTACACAACCAGCCCTACAAGAAATCCTCAAGGAAGCCCTGCCATGAATACACAAGAAAGAACAAAACCCACTGGTAAAGCAATAATGCAAACGAGAAAGAGAAAGAAACTAAATCTTACTACCATAAAAAACTATAATGACAGTGCAATAATGCCCCTGCTTTGTATCTGATTTTAGTGATTTTGGTCTTCTCTCCTTTTTTTCTTGGTCAGTCTAGATAAAGTTTGTAAAGTTTGTTAGTCTTTTTAAAGAAATCAACTGTTGGTTTTGTTGATTTTCTCTATTGCTTTTTAATTCCCTGTTTCATATATTTCTGTTGTAATCTTTTCTTTTGGCCTGTAGAGTTTCTGTTGAGAAGTCGGCTGTTAGTCTGATAGGGGCTCCCTTGTAGGTGACCTAACACTTTTCTCTTGCTTCTTTTAAGATTCTTTCTTTGTCTTTGAGCTTTGCCAGTTTGACTATAATGTGTCTTAAACAGGATCTTTTGTTATTACCTACTTATATTTGCTTTTGATTTAATTTGCTCTTCTTTTTCTACCTTCTTTTTTTTTTTTTTTTTTTTTTTTTTTTTTTTCTTTTCTCCGTGTCCGGCAACGGATCGCAACCCTCAGTGTTGCCCCCGTACCGGACCGGGGACCGGCGACGGGATCGCAAGCCTCGGCGTTGCTCCCGCGCCTCGCTCAGCCAGTGAGCGGGAGCCGGTCCGTACGCGGGATCCGAACCCTCGGACGGGAGCGCCGCCGCGCTTCCCAAGCGGCGCACTATCCAGTGCGCCACCGGGCCGGCCCTTTTTCTACCTTCTTAAGGTAGAAGTTTACATCTCTTATTTTTACATTCTCTTATTTTTAATATCGGTGTCTGAAAGTACAAATTTTCCTCTAAGCATTGCATGAGTCCTGCATCCCATAAATTTTGATATGTTACACTTTGATTTTTATTTCAAAGTACTCTCTAATTTCCCTGTGATTTTTCTTTGTACCTATTGCTTATTTAGGAGAATGTTGTTTAGTTTCTGCACATTTGTGAATTTTCTAAATTTCCTTCTGTTATTGCGGTCAGATAACATATTTTCTATGATCTTAGTCTTTTTAAATGTATTAAGATTTGTTTTATGGCAAAAAAAAAAAAAGACCAGTCAGAATATTTCTAATCTCAAAGATTAACAGTTTAAAAGAGTGGTAGAAGTTAAACAGTCCCTTATCCTATACTCTTTTAAATATTCCTTCTGAGAATGATGAGCTGTCTTTCTGCAAACGAATGGAAAAGTTGATCTTACTTTTTGAATCTTATATGATCACAGAATGGTATAATCCAGACTATGCTTCAGAAAGACCTACCCTTGGGGCCAGCCCGGTGGCGCACTGCTACAGTGCGCCGCTTGGGAGCGCAGCGACGCTCCCGCTGAGGGTTCGGATCCCACATACAGACCGGTTCCCGCTCACTGGCTGAGCGAGGGGCGGCTGCAGCACTGAGGGTTGCGATCCCGTTGCCGGTCCCGGTCCGGTACGGGCGCGACACTGAGGGTTGCGGTCCGTTGCCGGACACGAAAAGACAAAAAGGAAAATAAAAAGAAAGACCTACCCTTAAAATATCTCAACTATCTCAACTATCTTACTTTTACATACCACTACAGAAAGAGATTATACAACGACATTTGGAACCTAGAAAACATTTAAATAACCTATTCTGCCAGGAAATTCTTCCCAATTGTTAACTAACAAATACCTCAGCCTTTCTTCAGACTTCCATAACATTCTATTTTGGAGAATATTTTATTGAACTTGCAAACAATTAAATCATTCCAGGTCTTCATTTATACATTAAACCAAAAAGCAGAAAACAAAACAAAACCACCACCACCACTATGTTTAACTAAAAAACATTTCACTCAACAAATATTTAGTAATTATGCACTAGGTAGGCAGGTAAGCAGTGTTTCCCTTTTTAAGAGAAACTAATTACATCCTCTTTGAAGTCAAAATGAGCACCTCTCTCACCAATAAAAGGGCTTTTCCATAGTAAGGAACAACAGTTGGAAGATTCAGGGTTCCTGAGCTGCTTAAGGCAAGAAGCACCAGCTGCCATAGACATTGACATACCTTCACTGAAAATGTCTTAAAATTCTAATCATGATCCAAGTATAGGCCTATAGTTTCTCTCCATGAGCAAAACATCAAACCTGCTGTAGAACATCAAAAAGAACTTCTTATGTCAGAAAAACTACTTAGCATTACATAAGAAAATGAACTTCCAAAATGGAAAGAACAGATGGTTATGTAAAACTGCCTAAAACAAAAGGAAAAAGGAATAATTGGCCTCTAAATGAGAAGGGATAAAACCTAGAATCACCATGCTGCATGGAGATGAAACCTAACGCAAGAAATGACACATGCTGATCAGGCAGATGTGCACTGAGCCTAAACCTGTAACAGTCCTGTTTTCAAATACTGACAATGTACAAAACTTAAAGGCAAATTTTGAATAATCCAGAAATAATACCAAAACAAAAAATGGACCTGTGTAAAAATAATAGTGACAACAAAGATACTAAAAAGCTAGAGTTTCCAGTAAAGGAATACAGCAAAGAATTAGAAGAGAATGAGGAAAAAAAGTAGTAGAAAGCCATGTTGAGTCTTTCTTTACTTTTCCCTTTTTCCCCACCTTTTCTTTCTTCAATCACACAGGCACTAATTAAACCCCAACCTTGAGGTAACTTTACCTAGGGAGTTGTCTCTTTGAGAATATTCAAAAAATTCATTCCTCGATCACAAAAAAGAATACTGTGAAAATAACTTCTAACTGTGGAAGCAGTCACAGACAAAAAGAATTAAAATAAATTTTAAAAATTAAAAATAAACCTCTGCATACCCTGTCTATGATGCTTTCTATATTCATAAATAATAATGATAAAATACTTTAGATAAGATACAAAACACCCTACGCATCAATTGTTACTGAACAATGAGTCAATTACTATGGAAAATGTTAGCAGGGGGCCGGCCCGGTGGCGCACTGGAGAGTGCGCTGCTTGGGAGCGCGGCGGCACTCCCGCCAAGGGTTCGGATCCCATGTGGAGACCGGTTCCCACTCACTGGCTGAGCGCGGTGCGGGCGCAACACCAAGGGTTGCGATCCTGTTACCGGTCAGTAAAAAAGACAAAAAGGAAAAAAAAGAAAAAAAGAAAATGTTAGCAGGTTTCTTGGCACTGTCAAAATACTCAGTTCATATTAGAGTGATTCTCACCACAGAATCATATTCCACATTTAGTAAAAAATGATATGACAATCATACATGATTTATAAACATTTTAAGATATATTTCAAAACTATAATATAAACTCCCAAACTTGTTAGCCAATTTTTAAAAATTTTCAAGATGTGCAGAAGTGAGGACTAAATTTGAAAGGAAACCACTACTAACTTCATAGTTCATTAATAGTACCTTGAAATCCTTTGTTAGTCTGACTAATCTCAACTGGATGTCAAATGCCAGAACCCCAAAAGATCTTTTTGTTTTTTCTTTTTTTATTGATTGTACATATTTGTGAGGTACAGAGTTGAATATCAATACATGTATACAATGTGTGATGATCAAATCAGGGTAATTAGCATATTCATCATTACACAAAAGGCAAGATCCTAAAGTTAAAACTTCCTCAATCTTTCTTGGCTACCAAATTTTCCAAATTATAATTCTATGAAATCTTTAATAAAAATTAACTAGTAGGAAAGAACTTTATATTTTATTTATATATATATATATATATATATATATATATATATATATATATCTCATAGATGTATGACAAAACACAAAATCTGTATTCCATTTTTTAAAAAAAGCTAAAAAGGTAAAACAGGTATCTTTTCCCAACCTGTTTATGTCTATTCTGACTGTGTAGGTAGAAAACATTTAAATCAAGCATTAAATGCCTACGGAGAGGTTATTTTTATTTTCTGATATCATTAGCAAGTAACTGGCAGACTCAAATTTTAACAAAATAACAAACAATACTGAATATAATCCGTACCCAATTTGGATAATCGTGACCATATCTATACCTGATTTGATTTTCTATTCATCATTATAGATGAGTAGAAAAGATGAGTAGAAATCAAATCAAGGATAACATTTAGTCACAGAATAAGCCATGCCAAAACACATTAAGAACAACTTCACGTTATGTGAATATCTTAGCAGTAAAACTGACTTAAAAACAGCACTGACAAAAGAGTAGATCAATAATTTAGACTCAAATTTACAAAGACAGTAAGTTGTCACTCCTAACTAGTGTTCAAGGTAGTGTTTGAAAAGCCAAAATCTGAATTACAAGAAGATGCATAACTTCATTCTTCCAGGAGGTGGCATAATAGGGGGGAAAAGGAGGGGAAAAAAAGAAATACGTACATATATATACATGCTTGGCTGAAAACTTTCTTTCCTACACTAAAAAAAAAGAGAGTGAAACAAATGGATTGACAGACACTTAGACGTACCTTTCTAAAAAATTATTGTATCTGTTCTAGGTATTAAAGAATCTACCATTGTCAAAATGCTTGCAAACCATTTACTTGTAAGTATCTGCCAAAAATTTTCCATGTAAGAAAATAATTTAGCATAGATCATTAATTTAGCTGAAAAGTTTAGACAGTAAATCTGTCGACCCTAACTAGTTTTCAAGGAAGTGGCACATAAAAACATTTATATCACTTTTTGGATAGATAATCCATATTTATAATCAAAAGACTGTTTAAAGAAATATGTTTTTATGAACTTGAAAGCAAATGCTACACTATGAAAATCTCTTAAGAAAAATTACCTTTAAAAAATAACATTAAAAAGTTACTAAATCACACATTTTTCCAAAATTTGAGTTATTTAAAAATATGCCACCAAGGGCCGGCCCGGTGGCGCACTGGATAGTGCGCCGCTTGGGAAGCGCAGCGGCGCTCCCGCCCAAGGGTTCGGATCCCACATACAGACCGGTTCCAGCTCACTGGCTGAGCGAGGCACGGGAGCAGCGCCGAGGGTTGCGATCCCGTTGCTGGTCCCCGGTCCGGTACGGGGGCAACACTGAGGGTTGTGATCTGTTGCCGGACACGGAAAAAGACAAAAAGACAAAAAGACAAAAAAAAAAATATGCCACCAAAAAAAAAATTAACAATAAAAGTTGTAGCCATATTCATGTTGTTTACTTCATAAAATAATAAATTAACACAGTAGCAACACTGCCTTGGGTTTTATATAGAGTCATTCTTCCATGGATTCCATCCAATATGTGCTTGTATAGAAAAGGCAACTGACCCAATCCAAAATATTTAAAGAAACTTTCTCGATGAGTCTTCCTTGAAGTGATCCCAGTAATTAACTGTTAGTAAACCAATAAATGAAAGTAACCTTATTTTAAAAACACATACTGTTATAACACCAAGATCAAGGATTCAGCCACCAAAAAAAAAAAAAAGGCATACATATCCACACACAACACACACACACACACACAAAATATCTAAATAAAAACTGGTATTTTCTTCCCTTCCTAATAAGAAATATTTTTTTAAAAAAACATGGTGACTGCATATTACATCAAAAATCCATAGTTCAATAAAATTAAACTTAAACACTATACTATCTCTACCCTTAGATAAACACTAACGGAATAAAAATTTTATATGTAAGAAAAATATAGAAAGCTCATCAATTAAGATTTGCTGTTGATTAAACAGAGTTGAAAGGGAAAAGACATGCCTAACTTAAAAAAGTGATACGGATATGAACCAAACTTACATCCTATTCATGAGGTTTCTGATTAATGAATGCATGCTTTGTCAAATTCATCTCTTTTACATCTGTTTTCCTAACAACACCACATACTTTTCTGACCTTGAACACCTGGCTTCTTGGAGTTTTATTCCCATTGTAGCCCATATCAATTCCATTACTGGGGGAGGATGGACCAATTCGAAAGACGTGACAAAATATCCTCACGATCCTTAAAAGGCTCTTCATTTGAGCATCATAATTGCTAGAAAGGCTTAAAATAAAATTTAAAATATGAACAGATTAGATGGAGTAAAACAAATTACATCTTAAAATACCTATTTTAAAACATTTTCATCCCACTAATCATCTGTTTCAGAATATAACTGGAGTAAAATTCTACTCCTAACATAATAGGAAGTGGAATGGTTTGTTGAACAAGAAGCTACCAAATATACATTATTTTCATTGCAAAAATTACTAACTTTTAAGTACTCAGAAAATAACCAACAAGCATAACATAAAATATGAAGTAAACCACCTCTGGGAAAACAATTGGTTTTCTTGAGGCACCAACTTCAAGGCAACCCCCAACTTTCACTTCCAAAAGTATATTTGTAAATTAAACTTATTCTTTAGAACTCTGGGTACATTTCACAGAGAAGCAATGGCATAAATGTTGATGATGTTCTTAGGCCAATCCACAACTAAATTGTTTTAACAAAAAGGTTGAACCTTCTGCCATTCTATCCACAACCCCATATTCCTTCCCCACTCCAGAATAGTAACCAATTGTTCACATATAGAACATTCACAAATTGAATAATCTTACAGTTGCTGATGATCTGCATCAGGGTCGTTCTCTATATAAAAGGATATCTTATGACCCTATATAAATATAGGAAATATATCCTACCATGACAAAAAAGATGACTAAAATTCAATTAACACTAAATCATACTGAATATAACAAACTTTCTTTGACAAATCAGAAAGTCCTTCAGAATCCCATAATGCCTTGTGATTGGTCTTAATTACGAATATCAATCATTACTCTTCCACAGAGAAAGTGTAGGATTGAATTGTATTTTTTTTATTTTGTATTCAATCTAATGACATAGCTTTAAATAATTTTTTTTCTTTGTTCAGGAAGGGGTTTTATTTTGACATCTCTAGCATCAGTTATCTTGTGTTACAGTTGCACAAAAGCAGAGTAAAGAGTTGCATAAACTTTTGGGCAGAATGGCATAATTATCTTTGTACAAATTTAATTATCAAAAGCTTACTTTTTCTTCCTCTATGTGTATTTTACCCAGTTCACTAAAATCTTCCTCTACAATATTTTTAGAAATCCTTCAACACTAAAAATAAGGATTAGTAATGTGGGAAAAGCAAATGCTTACTTCCAAGTATTCTAGTTTGATAAATGCCAAATTAGAGGGCATTTTTCTATCCTGGTGACATGTAAACCAAACATGTCATAGACATTTTCACTTCAATATTTCATATTGTTTTCTCATTCTAAAAATTATTAAATTGTTAAAAAAATCAATAAAAATTAGCTGTCAGCTACAAGCATTAGTAAAATAGCTATTGCTGTCCATACTGCATTTGACTAGGATAGCTATAACACATTAGCAAAACCTTTTCTTTGTTTTAGTAACTTTTAATCAAATGTGTATGGAATCATTAATTTACATTAATTAACATACTGACTTTTACATATTCCTCTTTAAGAAGTGTTTCTAATTTTATATCATAAGATTTTTGACACTGACAAAATAGAAAAGTAGTTTGGTTGTAACTATTTCCTTTTTTTACTGTGCTGCAGCTCTTTACAAAGTTAACTCTAATTCTGTAAGAGAGGTGTGAGTGAACTTGATTTTCCTCTGCAGAATTACCACATACTGTACACAAATATTTGTTTTAAATATCTGATCGAGGGAATACTTCCTGGGTTATCTTACTTTATTTAAGGGAAGAAGTATGAGGGGTCTTCAAAAAGTTCATGGAAAGATTATATTATCTTCTATTTTTCCACAAACTTTTTTTTTTTCCTTTTTGTCTTTTTTACTGACCAGTAACAGGATCACAACCCTCGGTGTTGCGCCCATACCGGGGACCGGCAACGGGATCGCAACCCTTGGTGTTGTGCCCGCACCGCGCTCAGCCAGAGAGTGGGAACCGGTCTCCACATGGGATCCGAACCCTCGGCGGGAGCGCCTCCGCACTCCCAAGCGGTACACTCTAAAGTGCGCCACCGGGCCGGCCCTTCCACGAACTTTTTAAAGTATCCTTGTATTTTCTTAAATAATGGAATCTGAATATCATCCCCAATTATTAATATAGTCTAATAATTATATATTACTTTACCCAGTTGAAACTTCTTCCAAGCTAAATCACTGCTTTAAAAAAAGGTCGTTTTCTCACTTTCCAACCAGTAAAATGCCTCTTTTGTATTTTACAAAAAAATCATAAAATCTCAACTTCATCATACCCTTCTCCAGTTGATCATGAAATGATCATTTCTTCCAAAGCCACCATGTCTCAATATAAAAGTTTAAAAAAATTAATTTCCTAACTCAAAGCTCTATTGATGTACTTACCTTTGATTTATACAAGAGTTTACTCCTATTCAGTGTCTTTGCATCTAGCTATGATTTCTCTGTGCATCTGCACATCGATCACTCTTTACTTTCAATCATAAATATATAGAAAGGAAGACAACTCTTATTTCAATGCAAACACAGCATTATATGCAGATGGGCCCTCAGTAAATGTTTATTATCTTTATTATCTATCCCTAGAATCAGTTAGATAATAGGCTACCCATTTTTCTAAAAGTGTTAGATAACATCTCAATTATCACTAACTAATATATACGTGAATCTGTTATTTTCTTAATGAAAATTTATATTAAAATAAATGGCCAAAATTACTTCACATTGTGGGTTAAGAAATATAAAATGATTCACAAATAAATAAACAAAAAGGAGACAATCTGCAAAATATCATTAAACATAAATCAGCAGGGGAAAATAACTGGTATTTGATATCTTCTTAAGAATCTACCTTGATAAGAGTATAGTTAATTCTAACACAATACTAACAACCAATATTCACCACCAATTCCAACAGAGATATTTACAGGCCAAAAATGGCCACAATAATAACAGATTTCATAAAGCATCTGAAAGGTAGCATTGTAAGTGGTGAGACAGTACAGGCAGGCTGATTAAAACTTGTTTTGGTCATGGATCCCTTTTTCCTACCCTGTTTCTCCTGTTCCACTAATCTCCCTGCCACTTTTAAGAAAACAGGTTAAATGGTATTATCGAGTATTTAAAGTCATCATCATCTTCACCATTTTCCATTTACATAATCATCATCATCATCATCTCTACCCATGTGCCAGACACTATGCTTGGCACTTTACAGCATCTTATTTCATTCTCACAACAACTCATTAAGATACTAACATTTTCCAACAAAACATAATAAAATCCAATAAAATCTTGACTAGTATGGATCCCCCTGCCAGACAGCCACCCATCCCCCCCAAAAAAAAAAATTCCTGACTAGACTTTAAATTCAACATAGGAAGAGATCTTGCCTGTTTTATTTACAATCACCTAACAGATGGCCTGGTGGATAGTAAGCACTCACAAATATGTTTTAGATGGATGGGGAGATGATGAAGGGAAACTCCAAAAAGTTAATTGCTGAGGTCACACTGTTAGTAAATGGTCACATCTGGTTTTAAACCTGAGTCTGGCTGACTTCAGTGCGCATGCTTTTATTAGTATGTCTGGATCTTAGAAAGGCTTCATCAAATACATGGATTAGTGGGAATGACTAAATGAAAGGAGAGCATTATGAAAAGCCAGAATTCAAAGAAATCTTATAGACGGAGTCTAAAAGTAGTCTCAAAGGTAGAAATAGAATAATAAAAAACATTAGCAAATGGTATATTTAGAATTTCTGATGAAAGACTAAATGGTTAAAAGAACACAAGAAGGTGATCTTGATAACATGAAGCATAAGGGACCTAGCAAAGGACCTTTTAATAAATAGTACAGAATGTGATTCTGATCTGAAGTATATGAAAATTCCCACAGAAAACTGATACAAAGGACTAACAATTAATTTGGCAATGTAGTTGATTTACAAATAGTAGCAGCATGGTGTTGGGAGCAAAGAGTTCAGCTACAACTACAGAGGTGGGAAAAGATCATAACTTGTCAATGTATTACGAGTAAAAGTGATTAGTAAAAAGAATAATACAAAGTGGAGAGCATCCAAAGGGGTTCAAAATTTGTAAGCTAAGAAATAACAACACATTCAACATTTCCCAATGGCTGCTTACTCCTAATGGGGCTAGTTAACAACATACAAAGAAGTATAGCTGCAGGAAAATGCTACACATAGAAATTCAAGTAATATATAGGCATTGACTACATGGACTTAATGATGAGCTACTAAAACTATAGAAGTTTTTGGAAAGAATGAAGAACCAAACTGAGGACAGTTCAGGGAGAAAACCTTATAAGGAATCATGAGGGTAAAATGAAAGGTGGAACAGTAGCCTATACTGAGTTTTATAAATTAGAGATCAAGATTCCTGAACTTTCTTGATTCTTATTCATGTACATTTACTTACGTGACTAGTCTAAGTAATCATTTCATAAAATTCTAGACACATATCCCTAAATTCACTTAAGTACGCTCTATTTTTCTTTTTTTATTTTTTTTGTCTTTTTCCGTGTCCGGCAACGGATCGCAACCCTCAGTGTCGCCCCCATACCGGACCGGGACTGGCAACGGGATCGCAACCCTCGGCGTTGCTCCCGCACCTCGCTCAGCCAGTGAGCGGGAACCGGTCTGTATGTGGGATCTGAACCCTCGGGCGGGAGCGCTGCCGTGCTTCCCAAGCGGCGCACACCGGGCCAGCCCTATTTTTATTTTTTTTAAAGAGACAAATGTCTCTTTAGTAACAGTAGATCACCCTGGGCCTTCTAAATAAAACTAACAATGTTAAGTCACCAAACTTTAATAATATCTTACCACTGACAAAAGGCATCCAACAGAATAAACTATTCAGGAGATGAAGTCAACAGATAATGCTCTGTTTGCTTATTTGCTCTTATGCTGAAACACTTACCTGAGCAGCTTATGACCATTTGTTGTAGCAACTTCGGCAAGACTTGTTAGAATTTTTAGGTACTGGTTTTCACTTTGCTGAGACAAATGCTCCAGAACTTGCCGTAACTAAATTTTTTACAAATAAAAAAATGTAATTACATACTAATTCATTAAATTTTATTCAAATATATTAACTATTAGTTTTATAAGCATCTTAAAGCCAATTAGTTGAAACAAAATCCTTCAGTTAGCTTGCCTTACATAAATTTAAAAGCTAATATAGAGAGAAGATATAAAATCTTTGTTCAAAATCATCCAGTGAAAATAAAAATAAAAAATATACATAGAATAGAAACCACAAAGCATATTTATGGAAATTTAATTTCAAACTTCTAAAATTTAAGAGAATTTTTTAAATCCTACAATTCTTCTAAGAGCAGAGCTATTATACATACAGATCTCAGTAAACTAGTGATTATCATTCACAATATGATATTCCTCTTCAGATTTTTTTCCTCTACCCATGGGAATATTCTAGTTATCTTAAGGAGAGAATTAAAAATTCAGAGGACAAAAGATTCATGAGGAATTAGCAGAAAGTTTATTAATTATTATATAATGCATACTTAACCTATAATGTAGATAAGAAAATTCAAATTATTAAAATATTAGTAATAATAAAATTACTAGCCACATTTGTAAAATGTCATGCTAAGCCTGAATAAAGCTTGTTCAATACAAGCTACCAGCACAATTACATTACCATGTTTTCTCGGACATCTTCATTCTGTGTCATTTGAATAATAGTCTGGAAAAGCCTAGCATGGTACTGAATTAATACTTCACAAGTTTCTCCATATCCACCCTAAAAACAAGATTTTAAAATTATTCACTGTACCAGCCTGCTGCAAAAAAAAAAATCAGCTTTAAAAAAAGTTCCTTTTAAAGGTCTTTCAAGGGGTCTTCAAAAAGTTCATGGAAGTCAGTATTACCTTTTAATTCCATTTTCCCACAAACATTTTAAAATACCTTTGTATTCATTACAGAATAAAAATTGTTGTGCTCACCCTCTCATTTAAGAAAAAAATTATTTTATCATTCTGTTTCTATTATAAAGATAAGGAGCTCAGAATACACAAGTGCTCCTCAACTTGTAAGGGGTTACAACTCTATAAACCCATCCTAAATTGAAAATATCATAAGTCAGAAATGCACTTACTGCAGTACACCTAAACTACCAAACACCACAGGTTAGCTTAGCCTACCCTTTTGTTTTGCTTTTTTGTGGTTTTTTTTTTAGCAGCTGGCCAGTATGGGGATCTGAATCCTTGATTTTGGTGTTACAACACAACACAGCACCCTAACCAACTGAGCTAACCGGCCAACCCCATCTAGCCTACCTGAAATGAGTTCAGAATACTCACATTAGCCTACAGTTGAGCAAAATCTAACACAAAGCCTATTTTACAATAAAGTGCTGATATCTCGCAATTTATTGAACACTGTACTAACTAACAATGAAAAACAGAATGGCTGTATAGGTTGAAGTACGGTTTCTACTGGATGTGTATTGCTTTCACAGCATCATAAAGTCCAAAAATCTAAAACTGAACCAACATAAGTCAGAGGCCATTTGTATATTAAAAATATACCTGTACACATAAATCCAGAGGGGTTACTCCATTTTTATCTGGCAGATATTTGGCTCCTCGCAATAGAAGAATCTGTGCTGTATCTCTTTGACCATGACTGTATAGAAATAGAACCAAGTTAAAAATAAAATCTTTTTAAAGTGTTTCTCTATGAATTATGGATGGTTAATACAAATCAGTACAAGATCAACAATTAAAAAAATTAAGACAGGAAGATCTGAACTACATCCTCAGCAATCAGGAAAACTTTTCCCAATGTTAAATTATATTTTCACTATATAAATAAGAAAGTGATCCACTAAATCTTAGAAGTGAACTTGGGTCACATTACTTAAAATAAGTCACAATACTTTGGGATAAGTAACTACTACTCAGGCTTCTGCTTTACTCTTCCTTTCCACTCACTTCCTAATCCCTTTCTCAACTCTAGCCTGACCTTCTTCCTACCACACACATTCAAATGTCTAGATTTCTTAGTCCAAAAGAACCTGTATTATCAAAACAAGAACGAGCACATTTCATGACACTTTAATACTTGGTAAAAAAAAAAAAAAAAAAAAAAAAATTTAAAAAAAAAAAGGGAAGGAGAAAAGTATCAAAGTAAGAGAATTAGAGGGGGTTCAAGAGAGAAGGTTATTAACAAAAAATACCATCTACCTTTCAACCTTCATTTTATCAAAACACACAGTTTGGCTTCTGTTGATAGCTATTCGATCTGGCCTGGAATGAACAGCTCTACTATCCACATGCCTCATTCTCTAATTGTTCTCTTTCTTGTAGAAGTAAAATAAGTAATACTCTTTCAGCTAGTCCCAAGCGACTCTAGGGGAGCAACCACTAGACTCTAGGTCTCATTATTCAAAGAGCTCATCTGATCCTAGATAAAGGCAATAAAAAATAAATTTAATCTAGGGACATTAAAATTTAAGGCTGTTTTTAAGAAACGCCCAAGGGAGTCATACAGTTTGGAAGAACATCTAATCCAAAAACTTTTCCTTGTAGATGAGAAAAGCAACTAATTCAAGCACAGGTGAAACTAGAGCTCAGAACTCTGGGCTTCTAGACACATACTCATTCCACAATAACACTATCTAAAGAAGTATGAATATGTCATTTCAAAGACTACATAGATTTCTCAGAAACGGTTTTTTAAAAAGTAAAACACTATTCATTCTCTTTCACAAAACAGCGCTGTATGAAGAATAATTTATAGCCAATAGGAATTAAACAATAAAAAAGCCATAATGGGATGCTTCTAAGAATATGGCGCCAGAAAATCCTGTAACAGTTATAATACTAACTACCTTCTGACTACCTTCCTTAATACGAATATCAATAGAAAAGAACTAACTTAAGAACAGTATCTAATTTATTCCATGAAAAAGCAGAAAATCAAGACACTAAGTAAATCATCAATCCCTCTGAAAGCAATAGTAATTAGCTTTTTTAGTGTGCAGCAAGAAATCTTCTTCAAGCATCATTTCCCATTAAGCTGGGAATGTTGGTCAAGATATTACATACTACAGTTAATGACGATTGCTTTATAATTTACACTAATCTAATCTTTATCATTCCTAAAAATAAAGGTCAAGTGAAAAGTAACTAATGTGAGCTTAATTTATTTAGGGATACAGTGATACCTTTGCCAGTAGCCAAGGTTCTGAGAAATCCACTTTAAAAAGCTATTCTGAGGCCAGCCCCGTGGCTCACTCGGGAGAGTGCGGTGCTGGTAGCGCTGAGGCTGCAGGTTCGGATCCTTTATAGGGATGGCCGGTGCACTCACTGGCTGAGCGTGGTGCAGACCACACCGTCCCAAGGGTTGCAATCCCCTTACAAGTGGGGGGGGGGGCGGGGGGGAGGTATTCTGTTCAACTTTAATGATATCTCTTTTATAGTTATTTAATATCCATGTGTCCAATCTTTCTAATTAAATTATAGTAGATTCTTGACAGTAGATTTGTTCCATAGTACTAAGCATGGTAGTTGGCTTATAATATGTACTCAGTACATTCGATGCTTGTATTATAAGCTTTACCTTTAGATACCATTCATTTGACAATTAAAATTAAAGACACTGCACTATAGGAAATAATAATAAGAGACATGAAGCACAATTTATTTAGGATCTACTAGGTGACAAGCATTATGCTCAGTCCTTTGTGCAAAGTCTGATTTAATCCTGATACTGTTATAAAATAGGTATTGTTAAATTAAGTAAGCAGGAGGCCATTAGCCTGGGCTATCTCTGTACTTTGAGTTCACCTGTAAAAAACTGCAATGCAGGGCCGGCCCGGTGGCGCACTGGAGAGTGTGCCACTTGGGAGCACAGTGGCGCTCCCGCCGAGGGTTCGGATCCCATGTGGAGACCGGTTCCCACTCACTGGCTGAGCGCGGTGCGGGCGCAACACTGAGGGTTGCGATCCCGTTACCGGTCAGTAAAAAAGACAAAAAAGGGGAAAAAAAAAAAAAAAAAAACTGCAATGCAACTTTCTAAGTAAAAATGGTGGGGGGCTCCAGCTGGTGGGGGGGAACAAAAATCAATGTGTGTCTACATTTTCATGAAAGAAAGCTAATGAGTTACAATGTCTTGTCTAGAGTACCTAGAGAAGAAAAGTGACTGGAAAACATTTCCCATTGTAATTTTAGGTCTAAATCAGTCTGAAAATGACTCATTCATAGAAGCACTACATTGTTAAATAATGTTCAAAATAAGAAAAGCAGCAATACAAAAATAAAATAAAATAAAACGTCTTCATGGTAGAAGAATCATATTTCTTAGAAACCCCTGTATAGCACAGAAATTAAATGAAGACAATACAACTTTATGCTGCTCACTAGGGAGTGAAGAAGTGTGCTAGAGCAGTGCTGAATACTCTGCAGGATGCTTTACATAAGCCCTATCATTTAATTCTCACTATAGTCCCATAAGGCAAATATCAACATTTCCATTGCACAAACAAGGCTTCAGAGGTCAAGCAACTTGACTAAAATTGCATAGTGTTGGCACTGGGATTTGAACCCTACCTCTAAAACATAGGCTCTTTCCCCTATATCCCAATACCATCTAAATTCACTGCAAAACTCAAAAAGAAAACAGTTCCAGTATTTGACCCTTTAATATGACATATGATAATATATCTAGTGACACTTCTCAACTGATAAAATCTTATATTCAATTTAGCCTTTTACCTTAGAGTCCTATAATTTGTCTGCAGGGTTAACTCGTTCTACTTCCCACATTCCTTTCCCTTTCATTTACTGGAGACAATGCATTGGGAATAATTTACATTTTAATATAAACCTATATGTAGATATCACAAATACAAACAAAAGTCTGCCTGCAAATGAACCATGTTTCAAATCTACCATCCCTCTTCTACAATGACGAATTTAATTTTTTGTTTCACTTCTCATCACAGACTTGTTTAATCATCTTTGTTAAAAAAGATCTAATGTTTGCCAAATTAAAACTTAATGATGGGGGCCGGCCCGGTGTGCGGCGGCGCTCCCGCCGAGGGTTCGGATCCCATGTGGAGACCGGTTCCCGCTCACTGGCTGAGCGCGGTGCGGGCGCAACACCGAGGGTTGCGATCCCGTTACCGGTCAGTAAAAAAGACAAAAAGGAAAAAAAAAAAACTTAATGATGGGAGTGTAGTACTAGCAGTAAGTACTTCTAAAAAATCTTTCTACTGTATCCCTATGCTCAAATTGACTATAGAAATATCCCAGTTCTCTACAACACTAACATACCTATATTTTATTAACTACTATAAATGGCATCATTTTATATATTTTTCAAGCATATAATTACAATGATTCACTCATTCAAAAACATTTATTAAGCACCTGATTTTTTTTTTTGGTAGCTGGCCAGTACAGGAATCCAAACCAACAGAGCTAACCAGCCAGCCCCTACTAAGCATCTAAGTACAAAACACTGTAATTATACATAGGATATAAAACAGTAAATAAAATAAATATAATCCTTGCTTTTTTTTTTTTTTTTTTTTTTTGAGACCGGCAGCACCGCGCTCAGCCAGTGAGCGCTGTGAGCGCACCGGTCATCCCTATAGAGGATCCGAACCCGCGGCGGGAGCACTGCTGCGCTCCCAGTGCCGCCCTCTCCCGAGTGCGCCACGGGCTCGGCCCTAATTCTTGCTTTCATTGTGCTTTCAGTCATGCAAGGGAGACAGACTATAAACAACTAAATAAACAATTACAAAATATAAAGTGCTATGAAGGAAATGGCTATAACGCTGTGATAGAAAATTTGGGGACAGGCCTATTTAGATTGGTCAAGAACTGCCTTCCTAAAAAGTAAGAGGTAAGCAGAATCATGAAGAATAAGGAGTCAGACACATAAAAAGCCTAGAAAAGAGCATTTTAAGAGAAACAAACATCATGTAGAAAGCCCACTGGAAAGAGTAGGTTGCATTTAGAGAACTCAAATAGAACTAATGTGGCTCAAGCACAGTGAGCTGAGCAGCGATCAGACCATGCAGGTCTCAGAGGCCAGGGCAGAGTATGGATTTTATTTGAAATGCAACAAAGAGACACTGAAAAGATTTAACTACAGGGTTCAAACATAAAGTGACAAAAGTGGATCCATTTTTTTAAAAAAGATCACTTTATGGAGTAAAGAATAGATCAAAAGGATGCAACAGAGGAATCAAGGAGACTAGTTAAGAGACTACTGCAATACTGTAGGCAAACAGTAACAACTTTAATACGGTTTCAGTGAGGTGGAAAGAAGTAGAGATTCAGAACTTATTCTGAAGGTGGAATTTACAGAACTTAAAAATAAATCCCAAGCTGAGGGTCAGAAAGAAAGAGGAATGAAATAAAATGATCTGGTTTCTGGTTTAAACATCTGGGAGGAAAAGTATTCCACTGATTAAGATTAAGAAAGCTGGAGGAAAGGTTTCAAGAGGAAAATCAGAAGCTATATTTTGGATATGTTAACATCTGATTTTTTATGAGACTTTTAAGCAATTATTTAAATCAAGCAGGTGTATATTCAAATCTGGAGCTTCAAACAAAGGTCTCATTTAAAGATAACCCCTCAGGATAGTTAATGATTTCGGGGAATCAAACAGTGATATTATCCATAAGTTCAGGATACTATAGGAGGAATTGGTTTTCTAGCCAAGCAATGAAATCGTAAGTATAATGTAAGAAAATGACTAGACTGAGATAAGATCTAGAAGTCTACAGATCCAAAAGCCATACAAGGCAATTCAATAGATGATTTGAATCAGTCTGATCAAAGTAATATCGAAGACCAGAAGAGAAGCTAAATAAGAAGAAAAGTAGGTATTTCAGTTTAAAACCGCCAGTAAAATGATATGAAAAAGGATTAAAAAGCAGGAGTTTTCTGGAGAGCTCTGTATCTGAATATAAGAGCCTAAATAAATATTACAATTCACTTCATTTTAATCAAAGAGAAGAATCACTATAGTGTGAACTACTGCTAATGGCAAACTACATTTACGTAGCATTTAATACATATTTGTGTGTGTGTGTGAATGTATATATATACTCATATGTGTGTGTAGTGGTGTGAGTGCATGTGTATAATTATTACATAGTTAGCTCCTTAAGAGACAGGGTTTATTACCACATCATTAATACCTATAACAATGCATGGCACACAGTGAGTGCTGTTTGCTGATTACACGAATGAGTAAGTGAATAAAATGTATCCTTCAAGAAAATGAACCAGGAGAGAAGTACAAAAATAACTTAATGCATAACTTAGTATCTAGCAAAACTGACTCAAGAATTTTTCTTAAAAGTTATAGACACAGAGAGAGCAAAGACATGGCTCTGGACCCAAGACATAATTTAATAGCTTATCCCACTGGAACTTACCTGGTTACTTAATAAAGTGAGTTATGGGAATTGCTAGATTATTGATTTGTCTTTTGTTAATAAGTAATTATTCTAAAATTGAAATAATCAAGTAAATCAAAAGCTCCCACCTATAACATAAAAACACTGGCAGTTAAATATAATAGAAAATACTTTTCCTCATGCAGTTAAGTAATAGAACCATAATACCATACTTCATCTTAAAGAAAGCATAATATCTGTGGGAAAACAAGAGAGCTTTAGAAAACATACAGAAATGTTTATGTCTGGTAATGTGGTAGATATATAACATTCTTTAATGGGAGCAGCTGGAAATACAAAATATCATACCTGCAAGCAAAGTACAATGGAGTGGCTCCTGATACATTTGGCCTGTTAATATCAGCACCACTGTCTAGCAAGCATTGCACTGTCTGGGGGGAAAAGAAACAATTAAAAGTAAAACCAGAGAAGTCAAACAAAAGACAAAATTATCACAATTTTAATCCATATAAGGAAAGTTCCTCCCACAAGTTGAAGCTTTAAAGAAAACTGAGTGGGCATGTGACAATTATAATGGCTGAACAAATTCAACTTTTTAGTAACCTCTCTGAGCCTCTCAGTAAATACACAATATATATGGAATTACCAATGTATTATAAACCACGTTAACCCGGGAAAGCTCTAGAGCAGTGATGCATCATAGGCAGTCAGTAATCACATTTGGCTACCTAGCACTTGAAACATGGCAGGTACAACTGAGAAACTGAATTTTTAATTTCATACCATATTTAATTATAAATAATTTAAATCTAAATAGTGGCTAGTGGCTAGTGAATTAGACTCTACTGCTTTAGATATTAAAATTTAAAACCAGAATTTCTTATCTCTAAAAACAAAAAATAGGTACCAGAACTATAACTTTTCCAAAGTCAAAGAGCATAATTATTAAAGTACAAAATGCTAAAAATCTAAGATGCCCTTTTGCTATTAACAGTAGCCAATCAATACTGGTTCAATTTCTCTGACAGTCCTTCATATGTACTTTGTCCCCTAACTCTATTTCCGCAATCACTTGACTCCAACTAAGAGAAAGTAAATTACTATAAAAATCTTAAGATACATATCTAATGATTAAAACCTTTAAAAAAAATTTTTTTCTGTTCTATTCCTATAATCTTCATCTGAGTTTCTCCTGCAAAAAGTAAGAAAACATGTAAAAATATATAACAGTCTTTGGAATTAGACTGTTTAATATTACTTCTGGATTGAATATATGTGCTCATCTTTATTGCTGCTCTAAACCCTAGTAAACTGTCAGTAAAATAATAAGACTATACACTCACAAAGACGAAAAACAAGAAAGAATACAATAGCACACTAGGTAAGTCAGTAAATTTTGGAAAAATGGCAAGCAAACTGAGGAATAGTAACTGACTTAGCAGTTCAAATAAAGCTGAAGTTTAAATACCTGCAAAAGTTACAACAAGCAACCAAATTCTGACTATACCAAAAACAAAACAAAACAAAGAAACCCACAGGAATTGAAAGTACCAGTTACCTTTGAAGACAGAGATGGTTATACAGAGCTAAAAACAAGAGGAATAGTTGAAAGCCTGTAAAAGAAACAGACCCTCCCCTAGGACCATTCCTCTCATCCAATACAATTAGTCGCTATCCCTCCCTATACTGTCTCAGAAGATGAGACCTGAAAGAAGAAATGTTCAAGGAAATCAATGCCCTTAAAAAGAATGTAGCAGAGCTTGCTGAACTAAAGAATTCATTCAACGAAATAAGAAACACAACAAAGAGTTTAACCAGCAGGCTTGCAGAAGGAGAAGAGAGAACTTCTGACCTTGAAGATGGCCTGTTTGAAATAACACAGGCAGACAAAAAAAAAAAAAAAAA